AAATTGCACTGATGCCCTAAAGGTTGATAATGCAAAGCTGAGGTCAAGTAACCCAACAACTGTAACCAAATTAAAAAAAAAAAACAAAACACAAAAACAGTTTCTTTGCTAGCTTACAAAGCTAGCAATGATCAAGCACAAGATGAATCCAGCACAGGATTTGAGAGTCTCAGTGGCTAAAGTCCAAAGACACTCGGACGGTCAGCAGGGGCAGGTCTGTTACAGCAAAATCAGAATTCTGATTAAGAAAACCCGGCATCCCGACACACAACTGAGTAGATGGTCCCGAAGATTCGGACCTCCCCAGACCTTTTCTGAATCTTCTGAGCATGAAGAAGTGATCTCAAACTCTCACCACCACCAGCAGCAAAACAGAAGGAAAATACAGAGGTCTTTCTCCCACAAGACAACATGTGTCTACCTCAGGAGATGTCCCCAATTCTATTTCTGACCCTCAGGCCTATAAACAAGTTAAGTCACAGCCAAGGACATGTTAGGGTCTGATAAGAGAGGAAAGGGACATTACCCCAAAGAAGCTGCAAGACCTAGATAGCACATATAAGCAGGACTGGGAGATAAATCTAGACCAGGAAAGCCAGAAATAAGACTGAATATATCCCATTTGTTGACCTGCTGCACCCTCTCAGAACACAAGACGTAGCATTTTGGTAAGGACACCAGAAGATGGTGCTAACCCACTGCTAAGGTTGCTCCAAGAAACCAGAAACAATGACCCACAATGACTAGAGTTGAAATGCCTAAATTGCAGAGAGAGAATTTTGAGGAAGGGATTAAAGGCTCAGAAAATTGGGCAGGCTAGAATGGACACCAAAGGATTATGGTCCATGGAAGGACCCAGAGAATACCTAGTCACCAAGGCCATCAGAAATACACTGGTCAGAATAGAACCAAAATCACTAAGAAAGAAATTCAGTGGCTCTCCTCTGCAGGCCAGGGTGAATATAAAAGAGCCTGTCAGGGCACCTGAGTGGCTCAGTTGGTTGAATATCCAACTCTTGATTTAGGCTCAGGTCATGATCTTGGACTCTCTGGGATCAAGACCCACATCAGGCTCCATGCTCAGCACAGAGTCTCCTTGTCGCTGTCCCTCTGTTCCTCCCCCACCCCCTGCTCCCATTCATTCTAAGATAAATGGATAAATCTAAAAAAAAAAGAAAAAAAGCATGTCATAGACATTAGCTTGCTGAAAGGAATGGAAATAATAGTGCCTTAAACTAATATTAATACACCCTAAGAACCCAATATTCAACCTGTGTCACAAATAGTTAAGGTCCTTCTCTCCATCACCTGTGGAAATAAACAGAATTTCTCACTACAAATGGAAGTTCTCTGGAACTTATGATGGCGATTCTTCATTAATGTACCTTGGCCAGACCCTGGAGAGAAGAACATTCTGTCTTGACAAAAAGTTCACCAGCTAAACTATACCCCTTCCTTCTTCCCAACATTTAAAGCCTCTGCCTTATGGTTACTATACCAGCTGCCATGAACCTCAGTTCAGGACGGGTGAGAGATTATGTCTACGTGATAATAAAGCAGACATGGTTTTGAAGCAAAGGTTACGGGACCTAGGAAAATGCAGAGCCCACCCACCACTACCACCACCACCACCACCCCAGAAAATGTGGAAGTAAGTGGCACAGCTTTAGGGGAAAAAGTCTTAGCAAGGGTACAGGAATAAATTAAGACAAAGAGGTAGAGAGGATGATTTATGAAGGAGGGGAGTTTGTCACAGAATTGAGGCAAAATGCATGTGTCCATCTTCACATCCTTCTTTGCCTGATTAACCCTTATTTATCCTTTAAGAGCCATTTTAGCAGCCATGCCTTAAGAAGAGCTTTCCCTGTTCTTCACATTCCCTAAATCTTGACTTCAGGGTGTCACTACAGCAACTACGACAGAATGTGTTCTTTTCTGTTGTAACTGTTTTTATTGAGCTATAATTCACATACCATAAAATTCCAACTTTTAAGGTGTATAATTCAATGTTTTAGTATATTTACAAGTTGCACAATCCTCTCTAATATCTAAGTCTGGAATATTTCAACACCCCAAAGAGAAGCCCCATACCCATTAGCAGTCATTCTCCATTCACCATTCCTTCCAGCCTGTGGCAACCACAAGTCCACTTTCTGTCTCTATGCATTTACCTATTTTGGACATTTTATATAAACAGAATTATACAATATGTAGTCCTTTTGTCTGGCTTCTTTCACTTAGCCTAATGCTGGCAAGGTTTATCTATGTTGTAGCATGTAACAATATGTACTCTCCTTTTTATGGCTGAATCATATTCCATGGTGTCTATATGCCACATTTTTTTACTCATTCATCACATGATGGACATTTGGATTATTTCCACTTTACGGTTACTATGAATAATGCTGCAATGAACACTGGTGAACAAGTTTTTAGTGGACCTATGTTTTCAATTCTCTTGGATATATGCCTAGGAATGGAATTGCTGGGTCATATGGGAACCCTGTGCTCAACTCTTTGAAGAACTGCTGAACTGTTTTCTATTTTATATTCACACCAGCAATGTAACTGTCTTTCATTTATCTAGCCCTCAAATTTCTTGAGGGTAGGGACTATCTTATGTTCTACCATATCACCAGCATTTAGCAACAGTGCCTAATGCAGTATGGTTGTGTATGAGTATTTGTAAAGTGAATGACTAAATTAAAAGCCCAACAATTTTTTTCCACCTTATGCCTTCTTTTGGAGAGACACTTATCAAAATACCACTTCATCACAATGCTCCCTCCCAATACCTTTAACTTTCTTCTCTCCAGATTCCTTTCCCTCTGAAACTAATCTAAGTAAATAACATACTCTTAGGTACCAGCACGTCATGAGATGGGTGATCTATGATCACCAAACTGGAGAATTGGGATCTACTCAGGACTGCTCACCTGCACATTAGAGAAGTTAATATAATATAATCTGATGGTAGAATCAAGTGTTTCCAAATTGGCACCAATTAGCAGACAGGCAGATATTCATGTATATTTAGGGAGCAAAGTGACTCCCACATGGGGCCAGAGGCAACATATGGGGCCCATCCCATTACAAAGGCAGCCAGAGAAGCTCTGCAGATGAAAGGGCCTTCCAATTCTAGCAGCTCTGGGTGGGGATTAGCCTCCCATGATTGGTACTTAAGTAGCCTGATGATTTCCAGCTCTGGCCAGTTAAAGAGATTATTGCATAGAGTAAATACTCACTTTGATCCTCAAACACAAAGTGGACATGTGCACTTACACTTTAAACATGACCAACTTCTCTTGATATGAAATAGGGACACATCTCTAAGAAAATATGAATATACATTAATTCCCCGTAAAATCTCACAAAAATCTCTCCACTTCCGTTGATAAGCATTTACTGATACGGAAAGAGAAGACTCCCCTGATATTTTATATAAGACACATCACATTGTACACATATACTTTGCATCATTTCATTTTTTTAAGAATAGAAGTCGTGTGTAACTATGTTGAATAAATTCTCAAACTTTTATATAAATGACCTGCGGTAAGCAGAATGCCTACCCCAAGGAAGCCCATGCCCTAATTCCTGGAACCTACAAACATGTTACATTACATGGAAAAAGGGACTTTGCAGATGTAATGAAGGTTATAGACCCTAAAATAAGGAGATGATCGGAATAATCTAGATGGATTCAGTGTGACCACATGAGCCCTTAAAAGGAGCAATCTTTCTCTGGCTGGAATCAGGAAAGATGTTGCAGAAGGAAAAGTCAGAAATGTGAAGGGTGAGAGAATTTTGAACTACTCTTGCTGGAAGGGGACGATATGGAAAGCATGAGGACAAATGTGGGCAACCTGTAGGACCCACAGCCCAGCCCCCAAAATGACAGGAGACAAGAAAATGGGGACCTCAGTTCCATAATCAAAAGAAACTGAATCTGGCCAGCAACCTGAATAAGTGTGGTAGCAGATTCATCCTCAAAGCCTCCAGATCAGGACTCAGTCCAGCCAACACCAGGATTTCAACCTTGTGATATAGTGAGTAGAGGACCCAGCTGAGCCACTGTCCTCTTGACTTCTGACCCAAAGAACTATGAATAAATACATTCGTGTTGTTTTAAGCCACTGAATTTGTAATAATGTGTTATGGCAGCATCAGATAACTAATATATTACCAACTGTCAGTATATTAAATTCCAAAATTCCAGAGTAATGAAACACAATAACCACTAGAACAATCAATTAAAATTGCACACTCCTGGAACCAATTCACATTCCACTACCAAATGTTATTTGTTATGATAAATACATAGGAGATTTCTACCCATAATTATGGGGTAGTTTTTAAAATTATATCTAAGAATAATATTCCAATTTCTAAGTAATTGTCTTCTCCAACATGTATAACTTTAGCATTCATTTTTAAAAAAGTAAATAGATAATTGCTTTGTCCCATTTTCATATTGGCTTATCAGTTCATACAGTTCACTATAGGTGTACATCTCTTTTATAATATATTTGATTAAATTCCTATTTCATGTAACCCTATATTAGTCACATTAACAAAAGCCAGTGACTGTTAATAAAGTTGAAGGTATCAATGTTTTCAAAAACCTAAGTACATAAATGATGTCAAAGATTTATAGGTCTCAAAACTACAAAGAATTCTAAAGCAAAAGTCACTTATATTTTTAGTATATAAATACATAAAGCCAATAACATTGCCTTACTTTTTAATAAGACTTTATTAGTCCAATGACCGTACTTTGGTATTTGTTTTTTAAATTAGTAGCTCCAAATTGCACGGGGCTTCTTGCAAACATATCACAGTTCCTCCAGGTCCTGATCTAAAGAACACACGCTTTGGATATTCCAAGTTCTACCTGCTCCAGCCAATGTTTCCAAATTACAACAATGCCAGTGAAATTGGACTTTCCCAGAGACTCCATAACATGATATAAAATCGAGATGTGGCACACAGACACTTACTTTTTCTGAGTTCTTTCAGCCAGCCTTGCAATCTCTAGCGCTGCCTTCCTTGCTTCAAAATCTTCCCTTTTAACCACCTCTCCAGTCCCTCGGTAGCCTAGCTCCACCAACTGGCGGGCCAGGCCTTCATCCTAAAGAGAAAAATAAACTTTACGATTTGCACACGAATTAGACACCTTATTTTATTGGCTGTATACTGAATAACTTTTAAATGAAACTCAAACTTATTTTTTAAAAATGAGACATATGAGATATGAAAACTTAGAATTCTTTCTAACAATACTTTCATAAACACCGGATTTATCACCCCTTTCCCACAGATGTACAATAAAGAAAAAAAAGGAAACATCAGTCACTAACTTTTCTCTAAGGGATTAAAGGACAAAAGTCTGTTGTTTTTAATCCATTTATGAGAGCAGCTGTAGATAATTAATAGAATATCTTTAAAACAATAAGCCGAGACAATAGTACTCATACAAGAAAGACTTTTAAAAACCAATTGCACAAAAAGACAATTGGGTTGCTCCCATACAGTGCAACATTTCAGAGACTTACTTCCTTGAAGTCAATGAACTGATGACACAGAGCATTAAAACTTCAAATACAAAATAAAGAGCAGATGCATTTCCTATTTAACGGGAAAGATATTGTTTCCATATAATGTTGGTACCAATAAAGACAGCAAAGTAGAAACCCAGAAAGATGACAACAAAAAAGCTTCAAGCTGAAAAAAATTTCCCCACAACCCTTTAGCCCTTTTATATTTCAGCTACTTTAGGAAATGTCTCACACATTTGTGTCGCTTGCATAGCATATTCAAAAAAGAATACTGCTTCCCCATAATCTGAAGAGGTGTTGTTTTATATGAAGTTACTGATAGGAGGACTAAAGTGTTACATAAAAATATGTACATATTAATAATGTTCCTTATATTATCATCTGGGTTAAATATGAAATATCTGAAAGACAGTGAAAACAGCATACATTTTATTGTTACAGACACTTACTTAATACATCACTGTGGAATGCAAGAACCATCTGACAGAATTAAATGAGAAAATGTAAGATGCCTGGTTAATAATCGATTCAGCCCTTAGAGGCTGGTTTAAAATTCAAACCAATGGGAAGAAAACATTTAGACATTATCAGCCTAGAAACTTGCTACTTTCCTTTGCTAAAAATTAAAAGTAAATACAGTTGACCCTCAAACAACAAGGGTTTGAACTGTGCAGGTTCACTTACACACATTTTTTTCTCAATAAATATACCGGAAAATTCTTTAGAGATTTGCAACAAATTGAAAAAAAAAACTCACAAATTAATTGTGGAGCCTAGAAATAGTTAAAGAATTAAGAAAAAGTTACTTGTGTCATAAATGCATAAAATATATGTAGACACTAGTCTATCATTTACTACCCTAAAAGATACATAAATCTATTATAAAATGTTAAAATTCATCAACACTTACAGATTGTACACCATCTTTTCATTTCTCATTCTGATATTAGTAATACATATAACATCTACAGCAATCTGTATCCTATAAGACAATATTGATGTAGTTACTGACAGACGATTCGTCTTGTAAAGAGCTGATGTACACTTACTTTAGATAAAACACAGTCCAGGACTGTAAATGTATTTTCTCTTCCTTCTGATTTTTTTTTTAAGATTTTATTTATTTATTTGAAAGAGAGAGCGAGCTCGTGAGCACACCCGCATGAGCGGGGGAGGGGCAGAGTGCGAGGGAGAAGCAGATTCCCTGGTGAGTGGGCTCCATCCCAGGACCCCAGGATCATGACCTGAGCTGAAGGCAGATGGTTAACCCCCACCCAGGCGCCCCGCCTTATGATGTTCTTAACATTATCTTTTCTCTAGCTTACTTGTAAGAATACAGCATATAATACACGTGACATACAAAATATGTTTTATGTTATCTTTTCCACTGTTTTATGTTCTCAGTAGGACCTCTGGTCAACAGTAGGCTATTGGTAGTTAAGTCCTGGGGGACTCAAAATTTCTCCACAGATTTTCAACTGCTTGGAGATCATCGGTGCCCCTAATTCCCTTGTTGTTCAAGGGTCAACTGTACAGAACTCTGTGTAGCAATGGGATGCATTTGCCAAGCTAATAGAGTGCAAAGCACCAGGCCTTGGGAGGGCTATGTGCCTTTTTTCTGGCTCATTTCCCTGCTTATTACACGGGTTATTCTAGGCTCTTTAGTGAGAAGCACAAAACTAAGCAAATGCCTCCACCTAGTGGAATTAATATTTAATAGAAAAAACAATGAAGATTTTGGATTTGATTTACAAAGGAGAGATGATTTGAGTGTAAGTTTTCATAAATACTTTGTTAAAAGTGAGCATATGGGAAGAACTCTCAGCTAAACTCTGAGACTGTGGGGTTTTTCTAGAAGAATGTAAATGACTTGTAGTCAACACAGTATTTGATATAATGAAAGCCATTAAAAAAAGTTGCTGTATTAATTCCATATATGGAATGAATGGTGCATTTCCGTGTGCCTTTCCTGGGCCACACAAAGTAATCTGGATAGCTCTGCACTCATCTACACTAATGTATATTGCAATAAATAGCAAGATCTACTGAGAAAATAAGTAGAAAGCTGAAGTTGGTTGCCTCACCAACCATTACCACTAATAGAATCAGAAGTCATCTGTCCACTTTAAAGGGTCAATTATCTTTAAAGAAATTATCCTTAAAGAAACCTGAGAAACAAAATATTTTTACTTATTCACATATTTAGCACTTCTGATGCTTTATTCCTTTGTGTAGATCCATGTTTCCCGCTGATATGATTTTCCTTCTACCTAAAAAACTTTCACATTTCTTGTGGTGTAGGTCTGCCAACAACTAATTATCTTGCCTTTTGTTTGACTTAAAAAATGGATTTCACCTTAATTTTTGAAAGATATTTTTGCTGGGTTAGTGCTCCAGATTGACTTTTGACCTTTCAACACTTTAAAGATGTTACCCCATTGCCCCATGCCTCATATTACCTCTAGGAGGTGGTTAGTCTTTTCCATCTGTTTTATTTTACATAACGTGTCCTTTCATTTTAGATTCCTTTAAGATTTTTTTTATCATTGGTTTTCAGCAATTTTAAGATAGTCCTTGGATTGGTTTCTTTGTGTTTATTCTGCTGGGAATGCACTGTACTCCTTGGCTCTACAGATTTATAGTTTTCACAGAACGTGGAAATTAGCCATTATTTTTTCAAATATATTTTATTCCCTACTTCCCTGGGATTCAACATACATTTTTTGGAAGGGCAAAAAGATTATCATTTTCTATAAAACTCTATGGTTTTGACGATAACAGTTCATCTTAGTAAAAAATAGATGATTAGCCATGAATCCAAGTATATAAATAAGGCAGTAATCTTGTATTAATTGTCAATGCTTCTTCCCTCATATGACTGAGTCATTGATGTTTGGAGGCCAGTGGTTTAGAGCAGGTTAACTATAAAAAGGCATCATGCAGAGCAGAACCCAGAGATGGCTCGCCCTTAAAGAGGCTTCCTTGCTACACATGAACCATAAAACATGTGGCAAGGCAGAGGCCACCCAAGTGGGCAGCAAATGTCTGTACAAGACTTAATTCTGACTACATGACTATTCTTCTGGGACAGACGTCAGACATCTCTCAGCTGCTGGGAGAGATGTTTGGCCCCAAGGATGCGGATTGGAACAGTACCTTCCAGTTGCTGTGGTCTTGGACCTCGGCAGTTGGACTGGGACTCCAGGGTTCCATCCCAGAAGCCCGCAAAACTGCCCAGGGTCATACTGATTTCTGGAAGGCTACAGATCTGTGGTCTGGCATGCACAATTCACTCCCCAAACAGATTTGGGACTGTACTGTCGCCAGTCTCTGGGCCAGAGCTCATGCCCACCCCCAGCCTGGCTGTACCCCTGGGGCAAAGTGCCTCCCACACTATTCCTCTAGTGGGATAATGGTGAGGGGTAGACGAAGATTGGAATTTGGTGTTATGTGGGATGAGCAAGACCCCTAACAGGTGAGTCTGGAACAAGGGGTAGCCAGGATCTGGAGCACCGAGGTATTTCTCATCAGAAGAGAGAGAGATAGAGAAAGAAAGGAGGAGGGAAAGAAGGAAGGAAGGGGAAGGGGAGGAGGGAGGGAGGGAGGGGAGGAAGGGTGGGTGGGTCTATGGCCACTAGAACACTTGATGTTGCCGACAGGCTACTGAGGCTCCCGTAGCTTTTATGTCTTTTGTTATTATGTTGTATATTGCTGGAAAAGAGTTATTATTGTAGTTCAATCTTAAATTTCTTCAACTAAACTCACTGATTTGTTCTAAAAGGATTCCAGTCTAATTTTCTTGTATTCTCATGGCAGATAATCATACTGCCTGTATAATAATATTCTGACTTCTTCCAAGTATTTATGACATATTTCTTTCATCATAGCATTGCTGTGGTCAGACTACCAATAAAAAGTTAAAGAGTACTCACAAACATTTTTATCATGTTTCTATTCCAGTGCTAAACTTTCCAAATGTTTAACTGCTGATTATAAAGTTTACAAGTGATTGCTATATACTCTTCATCAAGTTATGACATGAGTTTAGAATTTTATCCTATGCTTTTTCTGCAACTATAGAGATTATATTTTTTCTTTTTAAATTTAATGTTGGGAAAATATATAAAGAATTTGCTCAAGTTGCAAAATCAGAAAAGACCAGTAGGTGGTTTTAGAAGTCCCTGATTTCCCCCCAACAAAAAGACTTTTTCACTCTCATTTGAATGCTAAATTACCTACTTTAGTCAGTCCAGGCAGGAAACAGATGACACACTTAAATGGAGTAAGTGAAGGAAATTGAGTGGCTGAGTTAATTAACAAAGGTATAGTCAGGGTTAAGAAAAATCCTAGAGAGATAATGAAGCACCCTGCAGCTAGCTACAGCAATAAGCTATTAAAAGTCACTAGTCCAAATGAGGTAAGAGGAGGGAGCAGTTAAAAGAACCCAGGGAAACAGCTGTAGGACTCAACCCTAAATTGTGGCTTTTTGAAACAAAATATCCATTGCTAACCTACAGCACTGTATGGAAGGAATGGGGTGGGGGGAGGGGACGAACTACCTAACCTCTCCCTT